GCACTACAATGAAGGACAGAGGTCAGTGCCAAACAGAAACCAATATCTCGCTCTCTATCAGTAGAGAAGGCAAAATCTTGGAACACACAAAACAAGAATCTCTGACATAGGAGAGATACTTTAAACAAGGGCTTTTCAACAGAGAAGGTCTGACTCCAGTGATACAGCTACTTACTAACAAACTTTCACAAAAAGTTATCACAAAAATCAAAATGAAGAAAAAAAAAGAAGATTGGCATAAAGGATCAAGAAACAAAATGCAACAATATGCTATATATAAAAACACATTTATCCCATAAAGAAATTCATAGGCTGAAAGTCAAAGGATCGAAAACGATACTGCATACTCCGGGACCTCAGAGAAAAGCAAAGGTAGCAATCCTGTTTGCATATAATCTGTACTTCAAACCAAGAATCATAAATTTAAATAAAGGTCACTATATACTGGTTAGGGGAAAACTTCAAGAGGAAAATAAAACGGTAAAAATTATATATGCACCAAATATGGGAGCACACAAGTATATAAGACAATTTTTATTCAGAACCTGGGTTTAAACTCAGGCCCTTGCACTGGTCAGGAAAGCACTTATTCTATGGAGCCATCTCCCCAGCCCCAGGACAAGTTTTAAAGGTTATGAAAAATCTAGTAACAAATATCGCAATATTATCGAGGATCATCTCACACCAGTATCTCAAAAAGATAGGTCAAGAAGACAACAAATCAGCAAAGAGGTAGCAGAACTGAAACAAACCTTTAAACAAATGGACTTAGTGGACATATACAAAAAGTTCCACCCAGCAGCACATGGGACCTTTTCTAAAATAGACCACATACTAGTCCATAGATCATGTTTAAGTATATTCAAGAAAACAGAAATTGTCCCATGAATATTATCTGACCACAGGGCAATGAAACTGGAAATTAATGCCAAAGAAACCACAGAAATCGCATTAACGTATGAAAGTTAAATAATACCCTCTTCACCAAAAAATGTGTTACAGATGAATTTAAATGAGAAAATAAACAATATCTACAATCCAGTGAAATTTCAAACTCAATTTTACGTAATTTGGGAGATGCAATGAAAGCAGTTCTCAGATGGAAATTTATAGTGTTCACATCACACATTAGGAAACCAGAGAAAAATACAAATAAATACCCTACTGCTACACCTCTAGCTCCTAGGAAAAGAAAAGCAAACCAAGCTAAAAGTCCCAAGATTGGAGGAAATTATAAAGATTAGAGCAGAAATTAATGCAATGACGAAAAAGAAAATAATGCAGAGAATTAATGAAACGAAAAGCTGGTTCTTTGAAAGATTAAATAAAATTGATAAACCCTTACCTATCCTGCTCAAAAAGAGGAAAGAAAAAACTCAAATTCAAGCAATAAGGAATAAAAAGGGAGAAATTACTATGGATCCTGTGGGAGTTCAGAAGATTAATAGCTATTTTGAAAATCTTCACTCTCACAGGATCAAAGACACAGAAGAAATGCATAGCAACTACATCTAGGACAGCAATATGTAATACAAAACCCATGTTTGCATACCTGTCATCTTGGTCTTCTAAATCTGTACCATTTCTAGTGTCTCGTAAATCATTATACTCCCTTTAAAATAAATCAGAAAAAAACTATGAAAAATTAAGGTTTCTTGAAAGCAAGTGCCAGCATTTAATTATTGCCTCAATTTTGTATATCTGTTTATCTAAGCAACAGATTTTTTTTTAAAGGAGGAAAGGTTTATTTGGCTCACAGTTTGCAGAGGTTACAGTCCATAGTTAGCTTACTCCAAGGGGGGTGGCAGAGCAGAGTGGCACTTCAGAAGAGAAATAGTCCATGGCCGGGTGGGTAGAAGGCCACAAACTAACAGTGACCTTCTGTCTGTCCCTTATATTTTATCCAAGCTATCACTCTTAGTCTTAGCATCATACACTTGATCGCAACAGCACGTACCCTACATCCGGCCACCTCTGGAAAGACCCACCGCTGGCTGCATGAGGATTCGGAGGAACACCTGGACACCAGCCCTAAGAGACTAAGATGCATTCTGCTTATGTTTTGGAGGGAGATTTGTAAGGAGAATGTATTTGGCGTCTGAACTTGCAGGGGGCTTTGAGCAACAGATTTGATAATAAAAATAGATATGATAACAATTATTGTTGATTAGCTATTCTCATTTTGACAATCTGTAACACATGCATTATTGTATGTTACCTTGTTTCTGTGTTTTTCTATTGTTTTTGCTTTTTTAAAATTTTCAAAATGAAATAAAATTTATTTTTATTTTAAATGAAATAAAAATTTAATAAAGGATTGGTTCACATGAAAAAGAATGGTAGGCATGTTAGTGAAGAATTTTATGATGAGTAGCAGGTTCACTTAAGTGTTCTCCTTCTAAGAATCTTTCTCCCACATCAAACATGAGACTCCTAACCTTACACAATAATCTCCAGAGAAAAAGTGACACTTTATTGTTCCAGTTTCCAAGTACCAGAAAATGTGTCTGATTGTTACTATATATTAGGTGATCAAATTTGAGTTCAAAAAGTTTTACCAGATATGTAGAATTTTTAAAAATTTACTTAGTAGAGAGTCTACAGGGTCTCACTACACAGATCAGACTCTTAAGTGATCCTCCTGTTTCCAGCCTCCCAAGTGCTGGGATTGCAGGTGCATGCCACCATGCCCAGTCTCAGTGCACCCCAGGGGTGGAGCTGGAACTGCAGACCGGGGATTGAACCCTGGTAGATTTGCCTGCCTAAGCATGCACTTTAGTCTGCAGAGCTATCTGGCTGGCCCTGGACCAGATATTTAATGCATTGCCACAACTAATCCAGATTGGTTTATATATTGAAATATCCAAGGAATGAAAGTAATCCAGTCATTTCTACATTCTGGTACCACCACTTCAAATCTCAGCCTTTGGGACCTGCTTGGAAATGGGAAAGGGGTATGTTTAGGGGCATTGTTCCATGAGTAGAACTATTTGCAATTCCAAGGACTATAAAAAATTTGATTTTTTTTTAATTCTGTGAAGGGTCTCGCTATACAGCTTGAACAGTAGTGATCCTATTGTCTCAGCTTTCCCAGTGCTGGGATTACAGGTGTGCACCACCACATCCAGACTCAATCCCCAGCTCAGCACACCCTGGGATGAGGTGAGTGTAGCATGTGGTGCCAGAGAACAATCCCCAGTCCTTGTGCTTGCCTAAGTAGGCACTTAGCGTGCTGAGCTATCTTGCAGGCCCTAATATCTATTTTTTAAAAGTTACTGCTTTCGACATTCTGAAGAAATGTGCAGCTAGCTAAGAAAAATTCAATTCACAGAAAAATTAATATTGTTATGGGAAAAAGCCTTTCTTTTGCCTATTTGCATTTTCAGAACATACATTCAATCTGAAAACACTTGGCAGATAACTGTTGTCTAGACTCTTGTCATTAAACTTTGCATTTTTCTCCTTGGACCTTCAGGATATCATGTTAAATTAAAGATAGAGCACTGCCAGTACACACAGCTAGCTCTCATATTCTTTTAGAAGATACACCTGCTCTGCTGCTGATTTTAATCAGTGTTTTATTAAAATAACACTGGCCCATCAATCCAAATCAGTAGGCTTGACTATGGTTGTAAAAATCACTTCAAAGGTTAAGTTAGCACTAATGCTGGATGAGTGGCATATGAGAGGTGCCTGTTGCCAGCACAGCCTCCTCTTCCACTTCTTTGTGCCTGTCACTAAACATAGGTCTTTGACATTTAAGTGAACTCATTAATTCAAAACATTTACTTCTGGAATTATTATGGAGTGTGTGCGACTACCTTAAAGTCGTATGTAGTTACACATTAGACAAATCCTTATTAAAATATTGTGATGGTTAATACAAATGATTTTCTATAACACATAACTGGAGGTGATCAATGTTCCTGCTGATCATGACATTTGATTTTTTTGTGCCCCAGTGCCACACTAGGACTTAATTATAAGCAGCCAGCTTCTTTCTGTCTCCAGAATTCTAGAGAGTGCCCTTATTTTTCAGGCATTTTTGCCCTTACGGTGCACCTTTCTCAACATTTCTAAAAAATTGTGGTAATCAAAAGAATGAACTACCTAAAGACCAATAAAATTTGGTATTTTAAAAAGTCAGTATAGAGACAATTTGAACTACAAAATGGTCATTATAATCTCAGATTTGTATAGCGTTTTGCAATTTAAAAAGTTCTATGACACATATGCAATTTGATTCTTGGGTTAAAGATTAAAAATGGGAAAGATAGCTCTTGTAACATCAAGTGTAAGAACATTTCAGTGTTTTTTTTAGAGATGCAATTCCCAGACTACTATCTCTCACAGAACTTCTTTCCTGATATGGTGATATTTGTTTATTTGTGTGTGTTTTATTAACATTAATCTTCATTGTGTGAGGATGTAGTTTTATATATTTGCATCTATATTTACACACATATTTACATAAACTGAGAATTCTAAATTATGTTTCATTACACATAAATTGCATAATGCTTGTACGCAAAATAATATGGATCATTCACTCTTGTACTGAAGGTATTTGTTTTGTGTACTAATGTATATATGTATTAACATAGTTCATATTTCTTAATATGAAAAATTACTTGTATGGATCTTTCTGTGTAATTCTCTTTTTTAAAATTAAGTAAATTTTACATGAATGAAATTTCATGTGATTTAATACTCATAAGGGTCACTTTAATGAGGCTGTCTTCAGGGTAGCCCTTTTTAAAAGAACTGAAGCTTAATCCAGACATCCCTTCTGCCTTGCCACAATTCTTTTATCTCCACTTGAATTATGGACATTGACAATTGTGGTCTTATATCCAATTTCATCCAGCAATACATTTTTGGAGCTGAGAATTTGAATTGCACATAGTATTGGTATTTTACACATGACCTAGATTCTGCATCATTCCTTAACCTTTCATTTCTAATACTGAAAGTCAAGATTTTTCAGTCAGTATTAGGCAGAATGTTACAGACTTCATTGTCACCACTGTAAATACTACGATGATGGAAGCCTGACCTGTGTCTCAATTGTAGCCACATTCACCAATTCTGGACACCAATCAACAGTGCCCATTCTAACCCAGAATAAGGCTCTGTGTAACTCTCTAATGACAAAATCTGTACCAATTTGTACCCCTGTGTGAAGAAACACATTTGTGTCTATGTGTGCCGTGCTTCACAGTGTTATTTTGTTTTGCTTTATTTTACGTGTCGTATAGAGAGAGTCTGCACACCATGTGAGAGCAATGCTAGTGTTTCCACATCCTCTTTGCACACATCTCTATTAATCAAAGGTATTTGAAACTATTTGCAACTTCTACTCTCACCTGTTTTTGCTTTTGTTGGGAATTCATTAAATAAACTGTGAAATGCTTCTTTGCTACTGAAACTCTGCCACAGCTGGCTATGAAAGAAATACACATATGAAGGACACTATTAATGGGGAAATATTTTAATGGATAATGTTATGCATTATTTGATTTTCACCAGAATCCTGTACCATAAAGAAGGTAAGGAAACAATCTGCATATAAGACACTGAGGAGGAGAGAAATGAGTTCTTTACATAAGGTCAGAGCAATTGGGACACATATCTAAGCCTTCTTGTATACTTTATAACTATATTTTCTAGAACACAGAGGAAATAGCTTTATTAAGTGGAGAAAATAGAGCAACATAGTTCATGTAAAATTTACATTGTATTCTCATTGGGTTAGGTGTTTCATTTTTCAGTCTATGAAATACAAGCTTAGAAACATAAACTTCCAATTATTCACAGAATATTAAATCTTATAGAGACCTAAGAGATGTATTATGCCCCTTAAATTTTACCTATAAAAAATGAAGATTAGAAACTTTTCATCTTACCTGTACTTTTTTCATCTAGCCAGTGGCCTACACATAAAGTATGGTGTTTTCTCTAGTCTGATGCCTGTGTTTTTAATCTAATTCCATCACAATTTAGTCCTTTTAAAGTTCTGAAAAGATTTATCAAGACTCAACATCAGAAACAATTGCTTTTATGTCCAAGACACAGTGATGGAGTTTGATTGTCAGTCTAAAGGAGAGTGGACTCCAATTCTATTGGCAATCTAATGAATTATCCATTACTGCACTAGACAACTTTTATCATCTTTTAATGCAAATGAATCCCTGTTCAATACTTTGCTAAGTGTATGTCTCACAGCATTACCCAATCAACTGGACCACTACACAGAGATGAGTATTTAATTTGGACAATACAAAAATTATCAACAGTTTTTTGGATGTTTACCACCACTTCAAATAAGAAATGCCATTACTCCACGTGCTGTTCTTTCTATGGTCTCGTTTTAAGACAAAATTTTTAAATGACTTATCTAAGTTATGAATTATTTCTCTAAAAATCACACTTTTGAAACTTCCAAACTTTGTTAGCTACTGAACACTTTGGAATGCTTTCAATTGATTGTGTTTCTTGTCTAAGAAGTTTATTCACATAAAGATAGTGTCCAGGAAAAGTTATGTTAAACTTGGATTCAGATGAGTTTTAGGCATGTACCCTTGACTTTGAATGTGAGGTGCTCTCATGAGAACAATGTGATCTTCGAAGCCCCTGGAAGAGTTTCCGGTAAAAGACAAATGAAGAGTCTATTTTTTTACAGGCAACTGAGGCCTGAGGGTAGTATTTGTAGTATATGTTTTTAGGTGCCTATGCCTTTGGGCCCCAGAAGAACAATCTAACAACATAATTTGGCCATTATTCTTGGCCACATGACCCCCTTGCCTGTTTATCTGTCTTTTGGGAAATTCTGTGAAGTATCTAACTTTGTTTGTTATATTCTCTTTCTATACAAACCAGCTGTAGGGGATTTTCCTTTGTGGAACTAAGACCCCCAACTGTTTTAAAGAGCAACAAATCAATAAGCTGTGGCCCTCAGAACTGCCATTGTCTGTCTATATTTTTAAGCAAGCTGGGGCAAGTAGATTCATTGATCTCATAGACAGAAATAGGTTTTTGTCATGGTATGTGTTGACTGTGAGTTGCTCAATGTAAAATAAGGAACTCCTCAATTGTTAAATTGTGGGCAATCTTGAAAAGTAGACAAAATATATTTAATAACTGTAGAACATGATATGCTCTAATATAATGCAGTTGTGAATATATTCTGGAATTACAGAAAAAATCAAAAATGCATAGTATTTTTCAGGGGCAAAACCCTGATGAAAAATTTTATGAAGAGAAGGATAGAGTTAAACCAAGGTATAGGCTGAAGGTGTAGTCACATAATGAAAAAGCTATAAAATACAATTAGAACTCCAAGGATAAAGAGGAGAATTGTAATGGGCGATTTGAGACCAGAAGATGAAGGTCTTTAGAACATGTTAATTAATTTGAAAATACATTGTACTGGCTTAATGACGGACCTCCATAGTTGCATATGAACTCATAGATCTATGAGTATTAAGTACTTTGCATACTAAAAAGGATCTGCAACTGTGGTTAAATAAGGCTCTGTGGAGGTCTTTGAATAAGGGAATGTGTTATGCATGCACTAGTTGAATCCAAATAATCATAAGGATCATTGGAAGGAAAAAGTAAAAGGATTAGGAAGTGCTAAGAGATGCAAGAGTGATAGCAGAAAAGGAACAAGAACATGAGCAGACATGTCCAGCTTCTAGAATAAAAAGCAGACAAGAAAATGAATTCTCCCCAAAGTCGCCAAAAGGGTTGCTTATGAAGACATGTCCCAACTCTAATTTTAGACCCTTCACCTGCAAAATTACAAAATAATAATCTTGTATTGTAAATCACCAAGTTTGAGAAAATATGTTGTAACACCAATAGGAAATTAATGCATGCACTTAAGAAAGAAAGAAAGAAAAACAGGAATGTTGATGTTCATAGTCCAAGCAAGAAACATGTTTTAGGAAATAGCACTGGATGATGTATAAAGGCTCATTGTGAGAGATGTTTAATTAGGAAAGATAGGTGAATTTATAATAATTAACTTGAACCATCAATGGGAAAGACAATTATTACAATTATGAAAGCCTTGGTAGTAGTAGAATTCATTCAAATAATAAATGTAGCAAATTAAAAGGGAACATATCTAACATACATAAAATATAATACACAGTATGCAAATGCATCATGCTAACTGCTTTGCATACATCACCTTACTTGATTCATATGCCAGCCTTACGAGTGGAAGATTATTAGCAGTATCCTCACTGTGCATAGACAACTCAAGTAACTCGCCTCCAGACACAAAGCAATTGAACCACCATGTTATTAGAGTGCTGCTAATAGAAATCAAAAAATTATGGGTGGAATAATAGCATTGCTGTGAACAGAAACAAGTCTTGTTTACTTTAGCAAAAGCAGTAAATATCCAAATGCCCTAAGGAGTGAGATGTACATAAGGCCTGCTTTACCAGTACACATACTTAAGAATGTATAATTTAAAAAAATATCAGATTCCAGAAACAATGTCCCAAAGGACCAGTAGGCAATTGTGAAGGCAGTATTCAGTGCTTTTGCCTGGAGTTGTTCAGACAGTGAGTGTCTAGGGAGAGACACACTGAAAGCTTCTTCATGTTCACTTGGATCACATTCAACTTGCTAGTTCAACATAAAATGTTATCCTGCTCTGTGAGCCTGGAGGCCATATACAATGCCATATGTATTTGTGTAACCAAAATATTTTCTTTAGAAATCAACAATATTAGAGTATGGTTGAAATAGGAAGAAATCTATGAGATTCTTGTTCTGAAAAATCAAGGTTGTTTCAAGGTTTAAATTTTTACTTAGTACATTTTACAATCATTTTTCACAAAGCTCACAGAAAAATCATTGATTATATGGATTTTATATTTAGGAAACCATCTACTGATTAAAAATATAATGCCAATATTATGTTACAATTTCATTTAATAAGAACTTGTTTAGAAATCTATTGTTCTCTGAGCCTAAAGAAAAAAAAGTAGAAAGTTAGGTAATATGAAAAGCTTAGAGTATCTTGAAAGCTATCTGAGTTTTTAATAAGTTGAGTATTTAAATTAAAAATTGTTGAAATTTTAACTTAGTCATTTTGAATATATCTTAAAATGACAGAAAATGTCAAAAGAATGATAATAATCATGTAAGAATAAAACCCCTCCAATATTAATAGAAAAATTTACAATAAATCATAAAACAATGAGTTTTGATCATTTTTCCACATCAATCTGACTGGGTTAGGGGATCCTCGATACCTTTTAAAACATGATTTTTGGTATTTTTCTAGCACAGTGTTTCCAGTGCAGAATTGTGTTAAAACAAGTGGACTGAAAAACACTGTCTGTGGTGATGAATGTGAGAGGGCATCACACAATTCACTGGGAGCTTGAATACCCTGAAATGGGGTAAGCACAGTTACCAGACCTTCTTCATGCCTTGGGCTGTCCACCTCCTACTCATGGATGTCAGAACACAGGGTGCTTTTGTTCTTCAGATTCTGGCACTTTCATCTCTATTTCCAGGCTAAAAATTATATGATTAGCTCACATGTTCTCAGAATTTCACAAGACTGAAATGTACCTTCAACCTTCCTGGTTCTCCATATTAAAGGAAATGATAGATTGTGGGATGTTGTTGGCCTCTTATTACATGAACTGATATCTATCTATCTATCTATCTATCTATCTATCTATCTATCTATCTACCTATCTATATCTATCTTTCTTTCTTTATCTTTACCTATAATCTATGCAGTTCTATATATTACTTTGGAGAAAATGTATTATTCTGATAAAAGTGACTTAAAAACTGTGATGGATTAAATATAATTTCAAATGCTTCCGATAACAATGAGCTAAGGTTTTTCTCATCCATTTGAAAAATGTGAAAAGAATGAAGGTTTGCATTATCATTTTCCTCCCTCCTTCCCTCCCTCCCTCCCTTCCTTCTTTCCCTTCTTCCCTCCCTCCCTTCCATGCTTTCTCTTTCTTTTGCTGTCTATGTAATTCAAGCTGGCCTTGAACTCATGGCCATCCTTCTGTCTCAATTCCTAAGTGATGTGAATACAGGCATGCACCACCATTCCTAGCCCGCACATTTCCAAAATGAGACT